GATTGGTCCCCCCGGGATATGGTCAGCAGTACTGGTTGCATTTTTGGCCCTGAGACATGGTGGCTGGCGGTGGTTGCATCAGTGTTGGGCATGTTTGAACCTGCCATAGAACCAGCCATTCGAACTTTGCTCACAACAGTAGTTGGAGTGAGTGAGGTTGGCAGAGTCCTAGCTCTCTCTGGCCTCCTGGAGTCTGCATGGTTTACAGTTGATCAGACCATCTACACTGAACTCTATAATGCCTTCGTCAAAACATTCCCACAGGTAAGTTTTTTTTGTTTTGTTTTCTCACTTTCCCCTCCCTCTCTGCTCCATATACATACATACAAACTACAGACAGGCTATTTCTACCTTACATAACATGTCTGGTACCAGATGGAAATGCAAAGAAATAGATTAGCAAACATCTGATGGAAATTATTTTGTTTTACAAAATTCCAGATTAAGTTTGGAGTTGGCACTTCCTTCATTGTGAACCTAATCAGATTTTGTACGTGGTAATTAGAAAGGAATATAATGGTTATCAAGGCTTATGACATGATACCTTACAGAAGTTCAGTTAACGAAATGAAAAAAAATACGGGATGAAGGAAAAAAAATCTTAGACAAATACCAAAATATATGAAATGCAGAAGGCAAAATTGGCGAGTGAGGCCACAAGTTGAAGAATGTCGATAATATTTTTGTCCCATTCTCTGATGTAATGGAATAATCTAATAAAGAGATTCCTTTATTTCCATGTTCATATTACTTGGAATAAGTGCATGAATGATTCATTAGTTGTTGGATTTCAAACGTGAAAGCTTCAAAATATATTGAAGCTGGGAACTGGGAAGAAGCGGCTTGAGACATAGTGTTAATTATTAAAGATGTTAAAAGTTAAGGAAATGGACAAGGGGATAGACATCACATCAAGGCATGATGACATAATTCAAGATACCCAAGAGTATTGACAGGGCAGGCAAAGACTGAAAAAGGATGGGCCAAACAAGAGAGAGATTTAATACCAAAATGATTGGTTAAATGTAAAATACCTTCAGTGTAAAGGTAATGGCAGGCTTCTTTTTTTTTTCAACAAGTCTACCGTCTGCCACCGAGGCAGGGTTACCTAAAAAGACAGAAAATCCCCAAAAAGAAAATACTTTCATCGTAAATCAACACCTTCACCTCACTCACACGTAATCACTGTTTTTTCAGAGGTGCCCAGAATACAACAGTTTAGAAGCATATATAAAGATATATAACATATCCCTCCAAACTGCCAATATCCCAAACCCCTCCTTAAAAGTGCAGTCATTGTACTTCCCATTTCCAGTACACAAGTCTGGCTATATAAAAATAACCGGTTGCCCTGAATCCCTTCACTAAATATTACCCTGCTCACACTTGTATGGATTTAATACTTTAGTGTATATGATAGAATCTAGGAGATTAATAATCATTTTTTTTTTCAACAAGTTGGTCGTCTCCCACCGAGGCAGGGTGACCCAAAAAAGAAAGAAAATCCCCAAAAAGAAAATACTTTCATCATCATTCAACACTTTCACCACACTCACACATTATCACTGCTTTTGCAGAGGTGCTCAGAATACAACAGTTTAGAAGCATATACGTATAAAGATACACAACATATCCCTCCAAACTGCCAATATCCCAAACCCCTCCTTTAAAGTGCAGGCATTGTACTTCCCATTTCCAGGACTCAAGTCCGACAAATAAGAAAATAACTGGTTTCCCTGAATCCCTTCACTAAATATTACCCTGCTCACACTCCAACAGATCGTCAGGTCCCAAGTATCATTCGTCTCCATTCACTCCTATCTAACACGCTCATGCACGCTTGCTGGAAGTCCAAGCCCCTCGCCCACAAAACCTCCTTTAACCCCCCTCTTTCCAACCCTTTCGAGGACGACCCCTACCCCTCTTTCCTTCCCCTATAGATTTATATGCTTTCCATGTCATTCTACTTTGATCCATTCTCTCTAAATGACCAAACCACCTCAACAACCCCTCTTCTGCCCTCTGACTAATGCTTTTATTAACTCCACACCTTCTCCTAATTTCCCACACTCCGAATTTTCTGCATAATATTTACACCACACATTGCCCTTAGACAGGACATCTCCACTGCCTCCAACCGTCTCCTCGCTGCTGCATTTACCACCCAAGCTTCACATCCATATAAGAGTGTTGGTACTACTATACTTTCATACATTCCCTTCTTTGCCTCCATAGATAACGTTTTTTGACTCCACATATACCTCAACGCCACCACTCACCTTTTTTCCCTCATCAATTTCTATGATTAACCTCATCCTTACCACCACCCCCACCCCATCCTTCATAAATCCATCCGCCGACACGTCAACTCCCAAGTATCTGAAAACATTCACTTCTTCCATACTCCTCCTCCCCAATTGATATCCAATTTTTCTTTATCTAAATCATTTGATACCCTCATCATCTTACTCTTTTCTATGTTCACTTTCAACTTTCTACCTTTACACACATTCTCAAACTCATCCACTAACCTTTGCAATTTTTCTTTAGAATCTCCCATAAGCACAGTATCATCAGCAAAAAGTAACTGTGTCAATTCCCATTTTGAATTTGATTCCCATAATTTAATCCCACCCCTCTCCCGAACACCCTAGCATTTACTTCTTTTACAACCCATCTATAAATATATTAAACAACCATGGTGACATTTACACATCCCTGTCTAAGACCTACTTTTACCGGGAAGTATTCTCCCTCTCTTCTACCACACCTAACCTGAGCCTCACTATCCTCATAAAAGCTCTTTACAGCATTTAGTAACTTACCACCTATTCCATAAACTTGCAACATCTGCCACATTGCTCCTCTATCCCACTCTATCAATGATGCCTTTTCTAAATCCATAATGCAATAAAAACTTCCCTACCTTTATCTAAATACTGTTCACATATATGCTTCAATGTAAACACTTGATCTACACATCCCCTACCCACTCTGAAGCCTCCTTGCTCATCCGCAATTCTACATTCTGTCTTACCTCTAATTCTTTCAATTATAACTCTACCGTATACTTTTCTGGTATACTCAGTAAACTTATTCCTCTATAATTTTTACAATCTCTTTGTCCCCTTTCCTTTATATAAAGGACTATACATGCTCTCCGCCAATCCTAGGTACCTTCCCCTCTTTCATACATTTATTAAACAAAAGTACCAACCACTCCACACTATATCCCCCCTGCTTTTAACATTTCTGTCATGATCCCATCAGTTCCAGCTGCTTTACCCCCTTTCATTCTACGTAATGCCTCACGTACCTCCACCACACTTACATTCTGCTCTTCTTCACTCCTAAACGATGGTAGACCTCCCTGGCCAGTGCCTGAAATTACCGCCTCCCTTTCTTCCTCAACATTTAAAAGTTCCTCAAAATATTCTCGCCATCTACCTAATACCTAATACCGAGGGATAAAAAACACCAAGGGATAAAAACACAGTAATATATACACAAATATTTCAAAATTTCTATATACGTACGTATTTATTTATGGAAATCATGAGTGAATTTAATTCCTTGCTAACACTATCTTCTTGGTATTTTTCTCTAAACTTATTATTAAATTGACTATGTTTTATTGCCACAACAGTGGCAACTTTTATTGATAGTTGTACCTCATTTTCATTATTGTCTCATGAAATGTTTTAATATTGGAGAATTTAGCACTTTATTAGAGGAAATATATTAATCTATCAGTATGTAACGATATAGAGTCGTAACAAATTGTTTCTTATTTTTGTTGGCCAATTGTAGGTCTTCGTTATATAAATATGTACAGTTTGTGGTTTAATGAAAAGAATGTGCATTGTATGTTGTCTACAATGTATTCACAGATCAACTTTGTAGTGCAAAGCAGTTTGTGTGTCGTGCTGATTTTGGTACTGGTGTTCCTTCGTCTGGACATGGGTCGACAACCTGCAGCCACTCATACCCATGACCCAACACTCTCTACCCACACCACCTGTGACACCATCTACAGTGTGCAGGGTACTCAAGTAGATCAGGGCAACAAAGATGATGCTCACAGTCCTCCCAGTGACAGTGCCCATGCCCATCATACATAACTAGTATGTTGAACTCTGCTAGATGACCACATTTATAGCAATATTGTATATATTTATTTTTTTAATTACAGTTTTCCCATGTTTTGTGTGAAGGAAATATGTACTGTATGGAGAATGGGCAAGGGAAAGATAACCAAATGCATTTTCTTTCTTAGATTAGTACTAAATTTACACTATATACGTATTTGCACTGAAATGCGTATATGCTGTGTACACTGTGATATACAGTATATCTGCTGAACCTATTCTCTTTATACAGTATGTCTGTTAAATCAATTTTCTGTCATACATATTTATAATATATTCATAATATTCCTCCAATGAGTCTTATTTTTTCTTACATTTCATACAATTAGAGAATAATTTTCTTACAGATAGTTACATATTAAAGTACAATTTCGTGTTTTAATCTCTGGGAGAATAATGTGTACTGTATTGTACAGAGTTTGTAAATGTATACACCCAACCTGTTTGTAAAAAACTTTTATAAATTTTTGTTTTTGTATTTGTGTGGTCAAGATTTGAAGTTTAAGATTCCTTCATTGAAGCTGGTGCCATGTAAATAAAAAGCTTGATCAAGGAATTGGGGGTAATTCTCCCTTGGGTTAAAAACTGTGACCCTTATGGGTTTAGTGCCTATAATAATAAGTCTTTTGACTTTACTATCTTTATTGCCATGAAAATGGTCTTGGCGTGCTTTACGCTGCCAAATGTTGTAAAAAAATTTCAGTTATGTGATGTATGAATTAAAATAAATTACTTGCACTTTTTAGCAGTGGTATTTATTTTTATATCCTGTATAAGCCAATTATATAGGAATGATTTCAGACTGTATATAAATCTTAAGGAGTCAAAGTATTGTATTCCTGTAAAGTTAAAACCATCTTCATTAAGGTTTGCTGTTTTTTTAACACACTTGGGCAGTTTTTTATATATAAATTCATTGACCATTATTTAGTTGTAGCTACAGTTAGAGTAAGAGGTAGATGGGACAGGCGGAAGGTGGCAACAACAAGTAAGAGAGGTGAAAGTGTATAAACTAAGGGAGGAGGAAGTTCGGGCGAGATATAAGCGACTATTGGCAGAAAGGTGGGCTAGTGCAAAGATGAGTAGTGGGGGGGGGGGTTGAAGAGGGTTGGAATAGTTTTAAAAATGCAGTATTAGAATGTGAGGCAGAAGTTTGTGGTTATAGGAGGGTGGAGGCAGGAAGAAAGTGGAGTGATTGGTGGAATGATGAAGTAAAGGGTGTGATAAAAGAGAAAAAGTTAGCTTATGAGAGGTTTTTACAAAGAAGTGTTATAAGAAGAGCAGAGTATATGGAGAGTAAAAGAAAGGTGAAGAGAGTGCAAAAGGAGAGCAGATGATAGAGTGGGAGAGGCACTGTCAAGAAATTTTAATGAAAATAAGAAAAATTTTTGGAGTGAGCTAAACAAGTTAAGAAAGCTTAGGGAACGTATGGATTTGTCACTTAAAAACAGAGTAGGGGAGTTAGTAGATGGGGAGATGGAGGTATTAGGTAGATGCCGAGAATATTTTGAGGAACTTTTAAATGTTGAGGAAGAAAGGGAGGCGGTAATTTCATGCATTGGCCAGGGAGGTATACCATCTTTTAGGAGTGAAGAAGAGCAGAATGTAAGTGTGGGGGAGGTACGTGAGGCATTACGTAGGTAAAGCAGCTAGAACTGATGGGATCATAACAGAAATGTTAAAAGCAGGGGGGGATATAGTGTTGGAGTGGTTGGTACTTTTGTTTAATAATTGTATGAAAGAGGGGAGGTACCTAGGGATTGGCGGAGAGCATGTATAGTCCCTTTATATAAAGGGAAGGGGGACAAAGATTGTAAAAATTACAGAGAAATAAGTTTACTGAGTATACCCGGAAAAGTTTGTAGATGAATGGTTTCAGAGAACCGACATGTTGATAAATTAGAAAACATTGCAACTCTTGGGTATCTTTATTGAGAAAACGTTTCGCTACACAGTGGCTTCATCAGTCCATACGTAGGAGAAACTTGAACAGGAGGAGAATGAGGTAATCAGTCCTCAACCTTGAGTCGATGTGTTCAGTCCATCAATCTTGAATATTCAAGATTGATGGACTGAACACATCGACTCAAGGTTGAGGGACTGATTACCTCATTCTCCTCCTGTTCTTCAAGTTTCTCCTACGTACGGACTGATGAAGCCACTGTGTGGCGAAACGTTTTCTCAATAAAGATACCCAAGAGTTGCACATGTGTCTAATTTATCACCAGGAAAAGTGTACGGTAGGGTTATAATTGAAAGAATTAGAGGTAAGACAGAATGTAGGATTGCGGATGAGCAGGGAGGTTTCAGAGTGGGTAGGGGATGTGGGAGATCAAGTGTTTACATTGAAGCATATATGTGAACAGTATTTAGATAAGGGTAGGGAAGTTTTTATTGCATTTATGGATTTAGAAAAAGCATATGATAGAGTGGATAGGGGAGCAATGTGGCAGATGTTGCAAGTATATGGAATAGGTAGTAAGTTACTAAATGCTGTAAAAGAGTTTTTATGAGGATAGTGAGGCTCAGGTTAGGGTGTGTAGAAGAGAGGGAGACTACTTCCCGGTAAAAGTAGGTCTTAGACAGGGATGTGAAATGTCACCATGGTTGTTTAATATATTTATAGATGGGGTTGTAAAAGAGGTAAATGCTAGGGTGTTCGGGAGAGGGGTGGGTTTAAATTAGGGGGAAACCAAAATACAAAATGGAAATTGCACAGTTTACTTTTTGTGATGATGCTTTTGCTTATGGGAAATTCTAAAGAAAAAATTGCAAAGGTTAGTGGATGAGTTTGGGAGTGTGTGAAAGGTAGAAAGTTGAAGTGAACATAGAAAAGAGTAAGGTGATGAGGGTATCAAATGATTAGGATAAAGAAAAATTGGATATCAAATTGGGAAGGAGGAGTACGGAAGAAGTGAATGTTTTCAGTTTCTTGGGAGTTGACGTGTCGGCGGATGGATTTATGAAGGATGAGGTTAATCATAAAATTTGATGAGGGGAAAAAAGGTGAGTGGTGCGTTGGGTATATGTGGAGTAAAAAAACCTTATCTATGGCGGCAAAGAAGGGAATGTAAAAAAGTATAGTAGTACCAACACTCTAAAATGTGTTGTGAGTTGAGTTGTGAATGCAGCAGCGAGGAGACGGTTGGAGGCAGTGGAGATGTCTGTCTAAGGACAATGTGTGGTGTAAATATTATGCAAGAAATTTTGGAGTGTGGAAATTAGAAGGTTGAAGAGGGGTTGTTGAGGTGGTTTGGTCATTTAGAGAGAATGGATCAAAGTTTGAATGACATGGAGAGCATTTAATCGGTAGGAGAAGGAAGACGGGGTAGGGGTCGTCCCCGAAAAGGTTTGGGAAAGGGAAAGGGGTAAGGGAGGTTTTATGGGCGAGGGCTTGGGCTTCCAGCAGGCGTGCATGAGCGTGTTCGATTGAGTGAATGGGGACGAATGGTATTTGGGATCTGACGATCTGTTGGAGTGTGAGCAGGGTAATATTTAGTGAAGGGATTCAGGGAAACCGGCTATTTTTATATAGCCGGACTTGAGTCCTGGAAATGGGAAGTTCAATGCCTGCACTCTGAAGGAGGGGTTTCGGGATATTAGCAGTTTGGAGGGTATGCTGTGTATCTTTATAGGTATGTGCTTCTAAATGTCGTGTTTTGAGACCTCTGCAAAAACAGTGATTATGTGTGAGTGAGGTGAAAAATGTTGAATGATGAAAAATATTTTTTTTTTGGGGATTTTTTTCTTTTTGGGTCACCCTGCCTCGGTGGGAGACGGCCGACTTGTTAAAAAAAAAATTCATTGATACACTACAGATAAGCCTCCAATATCTGCTTATTTTACCCGTAATTTCAGTGAAAAAAAAGTGTCTTGTTGGCATCAGGCCTGGTAGAATGAGGTACACTTGGAAAATGTGAAATTTTGTGGTTTGGTCTGGGGGCTTAAGATTTTATTATTTCAAATTAAACCAAAAATTCTGATTGTTAGGATTCTTTATTTAAGTTTAAAGAATGATATTTGTGTTCATGGTCTAGTGGGTGAGTGTTTGTAAGTTTTAAACCCACCAGGTGGTATTCATGAAATTTTGTTGACGGGGTGTATCAGGTATTTAAAGATTTTTTCAAAGGGTATTTTTAAAGGTGTTAAAATTGTGTCTGCAGTTCTAGAGTATTCAAGTAGGGTATTCCAGATTTTGGGGCCCTTTTGGGAATACTTTAAATTTTTCGAAAAGGTATAGTGGGGACAGGGGGAAAAATGTCGAGATGTTTTTGTTGGTTTTTATCCCTGTGGGTTCTGTCACAACTATCAAAAAAAAGCGTTTTAGGCCCGGGTTTAATTTTGGGAAATTTTAAAGGTCCTGTAGATGTAGTTTTCACAGTTGTAAGTGGGGGATGTACTTTTACAGGGAGAAAGTTTGGGATTATGAGTCCCCCTTGAATTTTAAACCCATTGTTAGCAGCTAGTGTTTCCCCTTTTAGGGGTTTTGTAAAAAAACTTTCCAATTTTCATGTTTTCCCGTACATATGTATGCATGTTTATGCTCTTTGTTTGCAAAATAACCCGCTTGTAAAATTTTTTCCGATTTTACACATGTGGGGAAGGTTACTCAGCCCTGTAATATCTTCAGACAGTTTTACAAGGTGGCTCCCCACAAAAAAAATTTAAATGAATAAAAAAAAAAAAAATTAATAACGGGACAAAAATAAAACTTTTTTATTTAAAAAAATATAAAAAAATTAAATATGAATTTTAAATTCCTTTTTTAAAAAAAAAATAAAAAATGAAAAATTAAAGATAACTGAATTAACGCTAATATTTTTTGGGGGTTTTTGGTGTTGGTGGCCCCTGTGGTTAAAAATTCGTAGCCGTTGCTGATGGGGGGGGGTTTTTGAGGTTTTTGGTTTAAAGACCCACTGGTAGTTCTTCACAGTATAGCCTTGAGTATTATTCCCCCCATTTTAAGGGGGAAAACAGGTTCTTTACCGCTGCCCAAAGATGAGGGGGGTTTCGTCCTGCAATTTTATAAGGGGCCCCAAAGGGAATTAAATCCAAAAAAGGGGGAAATTCGGGCGTTAGTCCAAACTCCCCCAGTTCTTCTCATTGATTGACAGGGGGACCCCCTTTGTCTTTCCCAAATGAAAAGAAAAGGGGCAGGTTACCCACTGCTTAAATAATCACTCTCCATGAAAAGTACAATACCAAAAAGATGTGGTGATTATTACAACAGTCAACATAGAGCAAGGCTGAAAAGACTTAAGTTTAATATTGGTCAAAGTGAAGCTTTCAACCCATAAATCCACTAGAATACAAGGCAGGCATGTATTTACAGTAGTGCTGGGAGCTGTGAGTCTAGTGATTACTGTTTGGACCAGAGCCCCACACATCACCTTTCGGGGGGGGGGAAGGAGGAGGGGAAGGGATAGTGGGAGCTAGACTGACCCT